CGGTCTAAGTTATCACATCCTGCAGTCACAGTAGTCATAAAATTCAGTGGTTATATTTATAGTTTTATATATTTTAATATTAATGTTACATGTGTTCATATTTATGTAAAGTTGTATCTGACATTGCTGAATGATGTTTTAACAGATTAATTTGTGTCGTGAATTAGAGCATAACTTAAAGATTAAATTTAGAGGAATAGGGTACTATAATGTGGACTGGGTGTACTTAGGATAGGACGCACTGACTTGCTCTTGTGAACAGTGTAATGGACCTAAAATTTACTACAAGATGAGGTACTTTTGACGTCTGAAGAACTCAGATCAGTGGAGTTATTTTCTTAAATTTTAAGCGGGAAGATTATGAACCGAATGGTAACAAGCATTTACGGGCTTTGATCTGAATCTTTCACGGTGTTCGGAGAACCATCTTCGTCCTCATCCTCAGGGACGAGGACGAAGATGGTTCTCGAAACGTTGGTTCAACCACCTGACGCAGCTGGTAGCCAGTGAAGAATTCATTATAATTTACGGGCTTAGCTGTTAACAGTGTGGTTTCTTACAGAACGTCGAGAATCATTGAAAGCAGTGAAACCTGGGACTTTGCACTTAAAGCAGTTTTTATTTTGGATACGATGAAGTAAATGTAATATTCTCGCCTGCATCTTTCATAGAGAAAATAATATTACGTGATGTTCTACATAAATAATTAGTGCTGAAACAGGCCGTAAAGATCGTGAACTCTGTAAAAGCTCGCCCTTTAAATCTAGTTTATTGTGCGAGGAAATACAAGCACACCACGATTTACCTCTGTTGTGTTTGGTTGTAATATAATTATCAAAAGGTAAAGTTCTTAAACGTCCAGTTGAGTTGATATGACAAATGACTTTTTGGGGGACAAATCGGATTGTCATATTCAATTCAAAATTCAAGAACAGTTACGTTGCGGGAATATAAAAAGCGAGATTGCGTTGCTACTCGTTCTCGCTCTCATGTCCGATCTGGAAGTCAGCTGCCCGCAGCCACGTCCGGAAGCTGCAAGTTCTACAATCCAAGTGTCTTCGCATTGTTACTAACGCGCCCTGGTACGTTAATAACAGGCAAATACATGAGGATCTGCGGGTCCCTTTCTTTGCCGACCACACCAGAGCACTGACTGAGAGATTTGACTCGAGGTTAGCTGGTGTGGGGAACCCCTTAGTCCGGCAACTCGGGAGGCACTCGTGTCGAACGAGGGCTGCCAGAGGTCGCCCAAGTGCAACCGAGGGCGACCGATGTTCAGCATTCCAGCCGAGGCCGTCCCCAAAAGACGGCCAAGTCGGCACAACGAGTGGTTAGACTACTCGGCTACCCTGACTGAGGT